CATTCAAAGCTAAATCTCATGGCCCTGACAGAGACGTGGATCAAACCAGAGGACAATGCTACACCTGCAGCACTCTCAAATAATTTCTCTTTTTCCCACTCCCTCCGTCTGACTGGAAGAGGTGGAGGTACTGGTCTGCTTATCTCTAATGATTGGAAATTTAATCCTTTACCATCTCTGAGTATCAACAGCTCCTTTGAATCACATTCAGTCACTATTACCCACCCTTTTAAAATCCATTTTGTAGTTGTTTATCGACCCCCAGGACCATTAGGTAACTTCGTGGAAGAATTAGATGTGCTGCTCTCAAACTTTCCTGAGGATGGTACTCCACTAGTTATGCTTGAAGACTTCAACATCCACCTAGATTAACCTCAGGCTGCAGACTTCCACACTCTGCTTGCCTCTTTTGATCTCAAGCGAGTTTTAACTACGGCTACTCACAAATCAGGCAACCAACTGGACCTTATTTACACACGACACTGCTCCACTGATCATGTACTGGTTACTGCACTGCACACCTCGGATGACTTCCTCCTCACTCTTAACCTCAACATGGTTCCTGACATAACACATACCCCTACACATGTCACTTTTCGACGTAACCTACGCTCTCTCTCACCCTCCCGGCTATCTGCTATGGTTTCATCTTCGCTTCCTTCCCCTAAACTGTTAGCATCTTTTGATGCTAACAGTGCTACTGATACTTTCTGCTCCACTCTTACATCTTGTTTAGACACTGTCTGCCCCTTGTCTTCCAGGCCAGCCCGTACCACCCCTTCTGCCCCTTGGTTATCTGATGTTCTCCACGATCATCGTTCTAAGCTCAGGGCTGCTGAAAGGGTGTGGTGCAAATCCAAAAATCCTACTAACCTTAATGTGTATCAGTCACTCCTCTCTATCTTCATGCTAATGTCTCCACTGCTAAAAGGACATACTACCATAACAAAATTAACAATTCGTCTAACTCTCTCATACTCTTTAAAACATTTTCCTTGCTCCTTTGTCCTCCTCCTCCCCCTCCTGCATCAACTCTTAATAGCTGACGACTTTGCCAATTTTTGATTAATAAAATTAAAAATATCAGTGCACAATTTTCCACACCACAATCTGTCAAGCACTTCTTACCAGCAAACATACACTCATTCACATCCTTATCTTCACTCTCTGAGGCAGAAGTCTCCAAACTGCATCTCAGCTTGTCCAACGGACATTTCTTGCTGGATGAAGGACCATCACCTTCAACTAAACCTTGCCAAGACAGAACTGCTTGTGGTTCCAGCAAACCCATTGTTTCATCACAATGTCACCATCCATTTAGGTACATCAACCATAACTCCTTCAAAAAGAGCCAGAAACCTTGGAGTTATGATTGATGATCAGCTGACTTTCTCAGACCATATTGCTAAAACTCTCCGGTCCTGCAGATTTGCTTTATTCAACATTAAGAAGATTAGGCCCTTTCTTTCGGAACATGCTTCGCAACTCCTTGTTCAAGCTCTTGTTCTGTCCAGACTGGACTATTGCAATGCTCGCTTGGCAGGTCTTCCAGCCAGTTCTATCAAACCTTTACAATTAATCCAGAATGCGGCAGCAAGATTAATTTTTAATGAGCCGAATAGAATGCACGTCACACCTCTGTTTATCAATTTGCACTGGCTACCAATTGACTCTGTGCACAAGCGTAGTGACAAACTTCCGCTGTCACCAGAAGTCGGGATGTCAGCTTCCGGTTTGCTCTAGCACCGCGCAAAATGTCAGTGTTTACAAGATGTCTTCAAGATCTGCCTAAAATAAGCATTAGCGATGTACACCGCATCGTTGATGCCTGGTCCCCTGCTCCAACAAGCAAGCGGAACAAGGGATTCAAACTCTACATATCGAGTTATATCCACAACTACGAGGGTAAGTAGTTTAATCTAATGTGGTGTGCCGACAGCTAGCGGCTAAGCTAGTTAGTGACGTGTTTATTTTTAGTGTAACGTTAGTATAGAATTATCAGTTGTATTAACTTTCTCACCCTCTCAGTTTCTAATAAAGATCAGGGCACAGGTGAAGTCATTGTCAGGTCCTTGTGCTACAGATCCATGAGGAAAGCTGAGAAACCTCACAGTTTGAGTGTATGGTGAAGCTAGGACTTATAAACCAACAGTTATAGGCTTGTTACTTTAATAACCCGACGTTTCTAATGTTCCTGGGAATTTAGCTAAGGTAATTCATGTTTAATATAACTCTTAAATCAGTACGTAAAATTGACAGGTGAGTATACCTTGCTGGTCCCCATTCGGGTTACTGCATGTGTTCTTGTTCATGTTATAACTTGTTACTTATTAGAACACGGTGTTCCTGTTGTTCCAGGGGATTGAGCTAAGGTCATTCAGGTTTAATGTAACTTTCAAATCTAATGAAAACAGTTTTAGTAGGCAGGTAAGTTTACCTAGCCAGTCCCCTCTGGGTAAAATACGTTCTTGTTCAAGTTTTCCTCAACTCAGTGATTCATTTAAGACGTAGGGCCTAATCTTGTGTTAAAGGTATTAGGCTATAATTTTTCAAATAAACGATTATGGATTTTGATCTAAAGCTGTTGTCACATTACACAATATAATCTAATCTAACATATAGAAATACATGACATTTGGTCTGTTTATATTGAATATTAGATCTAAAATATTTTAAACAAGATTACGTCCTTGATTAAACTGACCAACCTAAGATAAATAAGTATTTACTATGATATTTTACTTGTGCAGGTGGTACTAAAAGAGTCAAGTCCTGTTGAGCTGATTCAACACAGCTGCACATGTGTTGCTGGAGCAGCATTATGCAACCACTGTGTTGCTTTGCTGTTCCAGTCAGCACATTACTCACAGCTGAATGTGCCAGTGGTCTCTCCTGTGCTAAGCTGTACTGAAGGGGAACAGCAGTGGCACAAGCCCAGAACTTTGGTAAGTTTGCATTTAAGTATAGACCTGTTGGCTATATTTTCTAACTACACTGAACAAAAATATAAACGCAACACTTTTGTTTTTGCACCCATTTTTCATGAGCTGAACTCAAAGATCTAAGACTTTTTCTATGTACACAAAAGGCCTATTTCTCTCAAATATTGCTCACTAACACAGCTTTAGACAGATTTGTGAACAATATTTGAGAGAAATAGGCCTTTTGTGTACATAGAAAAAGCTTTTGTGTACATAGAAAAAGTCTTAGATCTTTGAGTTCAGCTCATGAAAAATGGGTGCAAAAACAAAAGTGTTGCGTTTATAATTTTGTTCAGTGTATATATATATATATATATATATACACACTGAACAAATTTATAAACGCAACACTTTTGTTTTTGCCGCCATTTTTCATGAGCTGAACTCAAAGATCTAAGTCTTTTTCTATGTACACAAAAGGCCTGTTTCTCAAATATTGTTCACAAATCTGTCTAAATCTGTGTTAGTGCGCACTTCTCCTTTGCCGAGATAATCCATCCACCTCACAGGTGTGGCATATCAAGATGCTGATTAGACAGCATGATTATTGCACAGGTGTGCCTTAGGCTGGCCACAATAAAAGGCCACTCTAAAATGTGCAGAACAAAAGTGTTGCGTTTATATTTTTGTTCAGTGTACATTTAATTTCCAACTGTATCCTGAATAACTTGATAGGGTATAAAGCCAGGCCCTGTGGAAAAGATGGTTGTGCTGTCTGCTAAACCAAAGTCTAGAGCAACAACAGAGGGAGTAAGGTAAAAACTGAATATTGTAGATTTTTTACAATATGTTGCATATTTAAAGTAAAATACCTGTGTGGATAGGCCACTTTCCACTCATGAAAGTTTTATGTTCCACACAGGAGCACACTCTACAAAGGCCTGAGTGGAGATATGCCTGATCTATCTGTCCTTCAGGTGAGTAGGGATAAAACAATATCAAATTTCACAGTACAGTATAATATCCTATCAACCAAAATCTGTATACTAGTATATTAATACGTTTTTATTTTCCTTTCCCTTTTGATTAAATTTACTATGGCCCCTCGATTATGCAAACAAGTTTTTTGCTTTGAAGAAAAAAAACAATTAAATTGAAATCAATAGGAGAATGTTCACACACGGGTCCTCCATTATGAACTTATGTTACATGCATTGTGAATAGGAATTACAGGGAAAGTTACAGGTATGATAATTGTGGTTGTTTTATATTATATATTATTATATTTAGTATATTGCTAATCAGTATATTATTATTTTCCCAGGTGACAGAGGTATATAAAGATTTCCCCACAGCTGAGGCACCAATGATCTGCAGTATGGGCATCAGCTGTGAAATTCCCCTGGTCGACTCTGCCCTTGGCAAGGTTCAAGCCGGTAGTCCCTTGTCCTACCAACAACCTGCAACAGCAAAGAGAAACCTGTCCTTCCATGCTGCCCCACCACGTCCATCTGTACCTCTTCAGCATTACCGCCTACAGCAATCCAGTTGCATGTTTGTCTGCACTGAACCACAACAGCTACATCATAGGAGTCTGGAAGTCACCTGGGATATAGCGCACAATTTTGAATGTGCTACCAGAGACCAAAGTTCATGTACTGAATGGCATCAGCTAAGAAGGCATAGACTGACTGCCTCACGTTTCAGGGAGATCTGCCAGGTTCGAGAGAACTCTGAAGAAAGCCTGGCTAACCGGATACTGCAAGGAACCCGTCAGATGGCGGCTATGAAGAGGGGGCTCGAATTAGAGGCAGATGCTATCTGGGAATACTGTCAGATGAAAAGGGTGAACCACTACCCCTGTGGATTTGTCATTCATCCCGATGCTCCTTGGCTGGGGGCGTCTCCAGATGGGTTCATCTTTGACCCTTCAGACCCATGTCAGTTTGGGCTGATTGAGATGAAATGCCTGAGTGTTAAAAGCTATGTTGACTGCCCATATCTCAAAATGAAGTCAGGCAAATTGGAGCTACAACAAACACATGCTTACTACTGGCAAGTACAGGGGCAGATGTTAATAACAGGAATGAATTGGTGTGATTTTGTAGTTTCAGCTGAGGAAGATGTACTCATTCAAAGAATTTATAGGGACAATGGTGTTTTAGATGTGATCAGAGAGAAAGTAGACAGGTTTTATTTCTATGTCTATTTGCAGAAATGTCTAATGCTTCAGGAGTAGGGCTGCAACTAATGTAAATAAAAAGAGTTGTTAATTAATTTAATAGACAATAATAGATAACCAATCAATCAGTTGTGTAATTGTTGCAGCTCTATGCAGGATTGAAATAAAATGCACTTAAATGTTTTTTTTTTTTAACCATTAAAAGTGAAAATGAACGTTAAGTTATGATTGAGCACAATTCAAGTTTTTACCCCCCTCAAAAAAGACCAGTCAATTATTACTGTAACTAAATGATTACATGACCATGCCTGTGATTTGATTTATTATTATTTTTTATTTCGCACCTTTAATTTTTTTTACAAAAGATAAATGACATCAAAGGAAATTTACAAAATGATGTTATTCTTATGAATTATGTATGTTGGACACTGAAAAATAGTTTATATTGATTTAGTTAGAAGAAGATACGGCTACAATATCACACTTCTTATTTCCATTTCTTGACCAGAGGTCCATTTTGGTAATTCGAGAGGAGACAAGCAACTGTGAAGAGTTGGTTTATGCTCCCTGCAATGGAGAGAGGGATAGTGGTGTCAAAGAGTTTATTCTCTTTCACTCTTCTGATTATTCTTTCGACATGCACCCTCAAACGGGCAATGGACTGTGTCTTCAGAACATCCTCCTCTGACATTTGGGCCCGCTTGGAGAGGAAGGCAGGACGATGAACAGTCATCCACCAAGGACAAAGGTCATCCACCAAGAATCCTTTGTCCACCATGATGGCCATGTCAGGCGTTAAGATCGATGTAATCTCTGACTGACGAAACACCTCCCTGTCACTCATGGAACCCTCAAAGAGCGCCGACACAAACGTAAGGGCTCCATGAGGGTACATGCCCACCATAGCTTTAAAGGTGCAGTGGGACTTATAGGTTGAGAAAACTTCGCTCTGAAGGAGCAAGGATGAAGGTGTTTGACACCGTATCTCTGTACAATCAAGGATTACTTGTGTGTCGCTGTAAATGCCCTCAACGTCATGTGGAAGACTGGCCTTCACAGCTGCAGGAGACATCCATATACCGACCGAGCCCAGTAAGCTGTAGAGGAAGTTGACCCAGGTAATGATGATTCGGCTGACTGTTGTTCGGTGGATGTTAAATCTGTGACTCAACTCTCTTTGGGTACAGCCAGTGGATAGGTATGTGAGGAAGAGAAAGAGCTCATCTATCGGTAGCAATTTTTGGGAGGAGACATGCTTAATGAGTGTTAATTCAAAACCATCCTTTTCATGCTTAGGGGTGTGGGGGGCTGTTGGTACTTACAGTTGGTCTGGTTAAAGGGCTTTCAGTTGTTGTGCTAGTGGCATCGGTTTTCTTTGACCTGGTGACTCTAACTATTTTGGCTGTTGCTGCCTTGATCAGGTTCCAAAACGCCATCAGATGCTCGTATGAGGAGAATCTAAAATACAGTATTACAACTGAAATCAGTTGTCTTGTCATACGTGCTCAAGAATATGATTAAGATGACAAAGAGAAAATAATTACTTGGCCAGTTAATCAATCAGTAAACAGTTATGAGTAGATGTTGATATTACAACTATCTTACCTGGTGTGAAATCTGATGTATTCAGGTGACGAAGCAAACCGTTTAAGTCCAAAGGAGTGATGAAGATTAAATGTTTGGAGCTGCTCTCTCAGCATCTCGATTTCTCTCAACGCACCTTCATACTGCTCCCGGTCCACACATACAGTACGGCTGGCCTCGTAGTCGTGGTCCACGACCATCGGAACCATGACGGGATGACCGATGTCCTCCACAGGCCCCGCCGAGTCAGGTGCCGGACTTGGCGGTCGAGATCGGTGTTCCCAAACACCGGCCCGTGACTTCGTAGTGTAGTTATTCCACTCGAATAACGATGGAACAGAGCCTGCTGCTAAAACCCGTCTACCCTTAGCAGTAGTGTGGATTTCATTATCTTGAAAATGTCGGCTGCATACCTTGGTGTGGGGGGTCACTGAAAATCCCACCCTCCTTATTTTGTGCAGCCACCGCGCACGAAGGCTGGTCTTCTTGGGGAAGCGGTGGAAGCTCAAATGACTGTTATACAGACCTGAAGCCGAGCAAAGTGGCACACAGCAGTGATTCGTATATTTAACCTCAGTTCTCTGAAGTTTAAATAAGTCACGCACATTATATTTCTTTTTTCGTACAGCAGCACTCATCTTGTTTGTTTACAGATGCGGATGAAGACAGGAAGTAAACCGGAAACTGATATCCCGACTTCTGGCAACAGCGGAAGTTCGTCGCTACGCTTGTGCACAGAGTCTATAGCTGCTCGCATAAAATTCAAGGCATTGATGTTTGCCTACAAAACCACCACTGGCTCTGCACCCCTTTACCTAAATTCATTACTTCAGAATTATGTGCCTCTAGAAGCTTGCGTTCTGCAAGTGAACGTCGCTTGATTGTGCCATCCCAAAGAAGCACAAAATCACTTTTACGGACTTTTAAATGAAATGCTCCCTCCTGGTGGAATGACCTGCCCAACTCAATCAGAGTAGCCGAGTCCTTAGCCATCTTCAAGAATCGGCTAAAAACACATCTCTTCTATCTTTATTTGACCCTCTAACTCTAGCACTCTCTATTCTAATTATATTCTTTAAAAAAATATATATAAAAGCGTCTGCTAAATGACTGAATGTAAATGTAAAACCCAAGAACCAGGTGTGTTGAATGAAGACCAGGAGTCAGAGATGCAATCAACTGAAGTTAAATTTACTGAAGAAAATAGTTTGCAGTTTCATCAGCAGAAGTCAGCTTCAATACTCGCGAGGAGTTCGTAGGCCGCTCTGCGTACATGTTAACAACACCAGTAATTATACTCTAACAGAGGTTGCTAATGCTATTACATAGGTGTAGTCAATACATAGGTGAAACGGATTCTGATTGGTCAGTTTACGGAAAAACAAGTAATCTCTTAACAGATGCACATAAAATTGATAAACCATATCTCCGAAGGTTATTTAGATGACAAGTGATTAGTATTAGACACCAGGGTGATGGAAGATATCCATATGGTCTTTACGCATGGGTGCCATTTGTAAATCTCCCTGAAGACTGGTAGCAACTGGTCCTGCGCAAACAGATAACAACACACATACATAGAGCAACACTGATCTCCGTCAAGGTCGGGTTATGTTATTACTCTTATCATCTACACACAGTCAGGGAGTCTCTTCCTTGAGAGAGAAAGAGGGAGAAGATTCAGTCCATATTCAGCACATTCTTTTACATACAGACATATAAAACCACCTAAATGTTTGGGGTACACATTGGTCACGTAGGCAAGAGGCCCCAGTGACCTCTATGGCCAAGGCATTCAGTGACCTATTGAACCGGAGAGGAGAAAGCCAAAGTTCACATATGGAGAGGCCCGTTTTTTCACATTAAAGGGACACAGACACTTTCCAACAGCAGTATGCATACATTTCTTTGTGTTTACAACTAATATGTGGTAACTAATAACTTTATTCAATCAACTACACTCTATGAGGTTAAATACTGATTAATAACTTGATTAATAATCACACAAGAGATAATATAATTGATTTTATTATGAAGGCCATGGTAGATCGACATCCACTACATCAGTGGAGTTTTTTTTTTACTATTTGAGCAAATAGGAATGCAAAAAAATTAATATTTATGGTAGTCTCCCATTCACTGCCACAGTTTACCCAACTATGAAGACTTCGCTGCTGAGAAACCATGAAATGTGTAAAAGGTCAATAGGCAACATCATGGCTTTCAGAACTAAAACTATTCCTGATACAAACAGAATGAGCATAAAATAAAAATGGACAATAACAATGACTACGTTTACATGGACATCAGTAATCTAATTATTTACCTTATTCTAAATAAGCCAATATTATGATTAAGGTGTTTACATGAGTTGCTTTTAGAATATTCCTTTCATGTTCCCATTTTACATGTTATAGTACATAGTTCGATTAATGGCACACG